CACGTCTTCTTGGACATTATTTCTCATGGGTGTATAAGGTAGTCAATTCGATCCACTAAAGCAATGTTTTAAAATTTTTTAACAATAATATTTTCGCTGTTTCATTTTTATCATGAAAGAAGGCATATAAAATTTCCAGCCTCAATCCACATGATATTGCTATATTAATACAAATACATATATATATATATAGATGTAAATAAGATAGTAGATGCTTGATCAAATTAATAGAACCTAGTATACTTCATATCAAACACATTAAAGCAACGTAAAGTTTTGCACACAAATAATAAGATTCTTACCATGTTCCAACTGTTGAATACGGCCAATCAAGGATTCACTGTTGTCCACATTTTCATCCATGCCTGAAGAAGAAAATGTAAGCCTAAGAAAAAGGCAAAAACTAATTTTTAAAAATGAAGTATTGTGTTACATCAAATTCCTCTAGATAGAAATGCATTTCTGAATTTAAATTCAAATAATAGCACATCGCCATACTGATCACTGGTTTATAAAAAACACACAAAATACCAGTTACAAATCCAAAAGAAATCAAAAGCAGCAATCACCAGCCATACATCAAAACAATCTGCATAGATAACTCATGAATGGACAATGATGATCACGCTTGATCACCTTCTAGGAAATATTCAATGAGTAAAATTCAACTATTCAAGGTTAGGCTGGAACGACTCAGACAGATATGTTGAAAACAACCTCAAACTGAATGGAAACTAAGTTTCTCCTTTGTCCTTCCAAGTTCCAACTCCTCCAACAAGTACAGTGCCAAGCCAAAATCTAACAAAATTTGTTGGAATTTTCAAAAAAAAAATGATAGGAATTTCTATACGTTGTAAACCATAAAATTTTATCGATCGCATTTATTAGCAAACCAAGAAAGAGGAGGTTGAAAGATATTAACCATCCCAAATTTACGTAAAATTAAAACAGAAAATGAATTTAACTGAAGATAGGGAATAGAGTCAAAAAGCTTTCTGCATCGGGAAGCAATCGAGCAATTCGTATTAGAGAGCGTAAAAGAACCCTAGAATTTGATTCCAATGAAGTACTGATTCAGCCAAAAGAAAATAACAACGAAATAGATCTCCAAACGATAGAATTCGATTACTAAGTTTCAGAATAAACGTGCAAACCTGAAACGAGTTTGGAACCCTAGTAAAACCAAACCGAAACAACTAACAAAAGAGACGGATGGAGGCATTATCGTCCTGGAGATTATTTTTTGTGAAGGCGACTTCAGTGTTTATAGATGACAAAGCCATCGTGACGACCGCCTTTATCTCCGGCTGCGATTCCCGCGAGAGAACTCAAATAACCGGAGCGAACTTGCTGAAAGGAGGTTAGGTTTTTTAACTGCCAATCGTATATGGGCAATTCACATTCAATAATGTGGCCATGTGGGCCCACTAATTACGTTACTTTGAACTCCTCGAGGGAAAATTCGATTAGTGTTATGTACTTTGGTCTAGTCCCATTTTGATTCCCAAACTTTAAAATGTGACAATTTAGTATACAAATTTTTAAAACGTGGCAATCTAGCCGTTAACCGTTAATCAGTCGTTAAGTGGTATTTGAAAAAGACATAAATGCCCTTCAAATATTATCTAATTTTCTTTATCAACCATCCAAACATTGACAAAAAATTAACAATCTCAAATCTTTGCCTCTTCTATTCAAGAAAGTTGGGGTCACCAGAATGCCCACACAAACGTAACCCCAACTCTAAGGGCATTTGTGTCTTGAATGGAATAGGCAAGGATTTGGGACTATTATTTTTTTTCTTGTCTGCTTAGATGGTTGATAAAGAAAATTAAATAATACTTGAAGGGCATTTGTGTCTTTTTTATATGTCATTTAACGATAGGTTAACATCTGATTAACGACAAGTACTAGATTATCATGTTTTGAAAGTTCAGGTACTAAATTGTTGTATTTTAAAGTTCGGGGACCAAAGTGGCACTACGCCCAAAGTACATGGTACTAATGGAGAATTTTCCCTATCTATAATACTATCGAATTTGTGTCTTTAATGGAACAGGTAAGGATTTGGGACTGTAATTTATTTTTTTATTTTTTGTCTGTTTAGATGGTTGATAAAGAAAATTAAATAACACTTGAAGGGCATTTATATCTTTTTCAAATGTCACTTAACGGTAGGTTAACATCTGATTAACGACAAGTACTGCATTGTCACGTTTTGAAAGTTCAGGTACTAAATTGTTGCATTTTTAAGTTCAAAGACCAAAGTGGCACTAGGCCCAAAGTACATGTACTAATGGGGAATTTCCCTATCTGTTATCAATGGTTAATGGTGAATTCGAGTCGAGCCGAGCCGAATAGTACGAGGCTTGCATTCGGCTCGAACTCGAGCTCGAGCTCGGTTCGAGCCATAACCTTGAGCTCGAGCTCGGCTCGAGTCAAAAATTCATAAGCTCGAGCTCGATTTTGAGAAAAGAATATTCTATAAAAATAAAAATCATATATAAAAATATTATTTTATTTGATATTTAAAAATTAAGAATTATAATATATATTTATTTTCTATAATATATATTATTTTCTATAATATATATATATAGATATATATATTCAAGCCAGCTCGCAAGCTCACGAGCTAAACTCTAGTAGGCTTGAGCTCGGCTCGTTTATTGATCGAGCCAGTGAATTGGGCTCGAGTTCGAGCAACTCGTAAAAAGCTCGACTCGTTGCCACCCCTATCTGTGGTAGTATAATATATCTATATTAGTACAATACTATCAAATTGTGAGGCCACAAAATATATTCTGAATTCTCGTTTTTTATCCCATTTAATTTTTATGTTCAATTATTAATTTACATGGCTTAACGATTAATTTCTACTCTGACAAATCACAGTTCTTTATTTTGATTTTGATTATTAATAGATGTCCACCCAAACCATAAACAACTTAAAACAAAAGGGTAAATTTCTTAAGTTACCCTTATGGTGTAGCTAATTGGTTAAATGTACTCTTATTATTTGAAAATTGATTGATGTTATCCATATTATTTTTGACAATTGTCTAGCTCTACTATTAGTTCGTTAATATTCCATTAAAACAAGTACACATGTAACACCACGTGGCCACTTTAATTTTTTTAAAATCCAATATTACCCTCGTCCCCGTCCTCCTCCGACCTCTCTTTATCTTCCTCGACTGTCTCCATCAACACCAGATCGCTGTCAGTTTCAAACCTCACAAACTGAAAAGGGCTTCAGAGAGACAGTGGTGGTCGTCGTTGTTGTTGCCCGCGATTTCTTCAACAGGTCACCTCCTTGTATTATTTCTGATCTGAACCCAGATCTAAGATTGGTTCGTTTTTCTCCTCAAGGCAGGTGGCTTGTGCAGTGGAGGGGAAGGCAGGCGGTGATTTCTTCAACCGCCACTGCAATCTCTCTCATCTGGTTTCCTCTGTCACTATTGAACTGCTCGGGACCCAACTAGCGGTGACTTGAAATGCTCGGGACCCAACTAGCGGTGACCTGCGACTATTCTAGTAGTACGAGTAAAAGTCTCTGAGATGCCATTCATCTTAAGATGTCTCCTTCGTCTCCATTTTTGCTTAGACATTCCTCAAAACTCCCCCACCAAAATAGAACAAAACTTTGTTTTTATGAATTTCTCAGTTTTCAACAACGATGTTGAAGCTCGAGATCCAAATCAAATGTTATAAAATAGAAAGAGAGAACTGACATAGAACTCTTTTAAGCAAAAATCCTGAGATTCAACCCAATCAAAAAAAATCACGAGCATTAGTTGAATAGAAGATGAACTACCCAATTTTGCAGCCGCTTGGACGAAAAGGGAAAAACCTTACCAAATCTGGAAATTCAGACGAAGATTTAAATATTTCTGTTGGATTTTGATCTCATAAAAGATTAAATCCAATGGGTTTGATTGGTCAATTACATGAGAAATTGCACATGCACACTTGATTGAAAAATCAGTTTTTTCTCTTAGAAAAAACCCAGTTTTTAACTTGTCCCACATTAGAAAATTATAAGTTTTGTTTTCAGTATTTCAATAGGAGCTGATTTACACTCCTTAGAATTAGTAGAGAGTATGGGGATTCGATACCGCAACGCACGCGCACGCATGTGTGCGGCGCAATGAGGCGCTTTAGAGGCGCACTTTGCTCGCACTTGGTTTTGGTGCGTTACTGACCGTTGATCACCGTTGATGAGATCAACGGTCACGATTCGATCGGGTGTGATCAAGAAGCACAATTCAAAGTTAACAGTCACTAACTGTTAACTACTTTTTAAACAAATTGTGACTGTTCAATGTGCCTTCTCTAAACCAGCACCTACCTTTTCTTCATACCTCTTCACAAATTATTTAAGAAGCATGAATCAGACTCCAAAACACACAATTTTGAAATTCACTCTCTCTCTCTCTTTCTCAGTCCAGTCTGCTACAATCTCACAGAATGTTTCTTTGGAGACTCTTCAACTTTGCTGGTTGCAGATTCTCGCCCAAGGCTCTGTTGTATCCTGGGAACGAATTTGCCTGTAACCCAACAGCAAACTCAGTAAAACTGAGTGGGGACAAATAACGTTCTAAAGACAATGTCTTCAGACGCGCCTTAGAGCTTCTCCTCCAAAGTTATAGTGACCCCATTTTCTTCAACAATTTCCAATAAAAAGGAATAAAAAAACATTTTTGACCTAATTTCGTTGGACAACAAATGTAAACCCTTTCAAGTTCAAGAGAAATTTAAATGAAGAATTCAAAACACAAGAAGAAGCCAATTTAATTGGAGAGAGAGATTGGTATCGACAACAAGAGAATTAGAGTTCTAATCAGAGAGAGAGAGAGAGAGAGGAGGGGGAGGAAATGAGTTCGGACAAACTTGTACAGCTAACATCTCCGGCCCTACTCACTCCCTATTCCAGTATAATCAGCACTGCATAAGGAAGACGGTTGAACAAACTTGTTTCTTTGGATAAGATTGGTAACGGTGACACTTTGATCTATCACCCTAGAATGCAAGTTGATTCCTATCAAGCAGTTCTCCTTGAATCATATGACTCCTAGAACGACTCCTTGACCTTGCCCTTGACGGATACCTCGAGGGAGACATGTTGTCCCTGCTATAAGGTGAATGGGAGTGGGAATACCTTGATTATTTGGAGCACGACATCATAGTGCATAATCAAATAGTTTAGTTTTAGTCCCAGAAAAGATAGCTTTCCCGACGGGCAAGAAGGGACGTAGCGATGGCGACAGTGAAAAGAGAGAATGAGAGAAAGACAGAGGAGAGAGAACTGTTTGGATTTAATGGAAGGGTAAAATTGAGATTTCAGCCATTTTTTTTAATATTT